TCTCATCATGCATCAGGATGAAATAAGACACCAGGCCGAACCTGTTCCATTGTGACTCCAACCGTGTTATAAACCGACTAGAAATAAGGCCCGTTGTGGAAATAAATACAACGAGAGCTAGAAAGAGGCTCTGGGAGAGTGCTCTGGCTTTGGGCAAACAGTGTCAGTCTGCTTTTAAAACATGAACCTGGGACCTGCACACCACCAGAATACAGCAGGTTCCATATGCAACTGACATTCTGTTCCATTGTGACTCCAACTGTGTTATAAACCGATTACCATTTCAAATGTCCCAACCCTCGTCCTGCAGGAATCATGGAAGCACTGCGAGGTTTCTCTGTGGGGCTCCTTAATACCATATTTTTAGGTGTCACTTATCCAGGGGTCATTTCGTAGAAAAAGAGCTAGGGGAACTCATTAGCATAACTCATTAGCATATGCCACACCCCCTGACATCATAAGGCCCGGCGGTGGACCTGCAAGGCCGGCAGGAGTGCAAGGAAGCCCCACCAAGGCCCTCCCTGGCCCCAGGCAGGCAGGGGTGGGGAGAGGCAGGGAGGAAGCAACTTACCCTCCCTCTTCTCCTGCCTCCTCCTGGCTGAATGAGGGCTGGAAGCGGGGCAGCTGGAAGCAAGGGGTGTGGCTTCGTCGTGTGCCCCGCCCCCCACACCTCACCCAGGGGAACTGCGATCCCCCGTGAACCCCCCCGAAATGACCTCTGCACTTATCACATTTTCCTGAGACTGCAAGTGACTCCTGGCAAAATGTTCTCTCTCTTTAGTTGCTGCAGCAAACAAGTATGCCTGTAGGAGTCTCGATGCAATGGAGGGGAAACTACCTATCCTACAACAAACAGCTGATCAGGTAGCTAATGAATCTTCTAGAAGAGGTATCCCCAACGTGGCGCCCGTGGGTGCCAACACCTTTATTGGCACCTATCAAATGTTTTTAGAAAGCTGGTGGGACCTGGTGGGGAATCTTGTCCAGCAGGGTTTCTGACTGGCCACTGGAGATCTGATTGGCTATGCAGATTCAGATAATTT